CCAAATTCTATCACTATTTATTTAGACATTTCTAATTTATCCTAATTTATAGCACAGCTTTACTATTGCCTGAATCATTATACTTATTTACCACTTTCTCTAAATGATCAAACATGCTTTTACTGTTTCGAGCATCAAAAGTAACCTCACAATATTGATAGAAAAGTTGAACTACATAATTATAATCCAGATTACTTGCCTGATCTGCAAGTAATTCTAATAATTCTTGGTCATTTGTAGTAGAGAGATGAAGGTCATCTTTATGTGAATATATTGCTGAAATAGGAGAATATCTATCATTAAATAGACCCAAGAATTTATCATATATTTCTTTCTTAACATGCCAAAAACTTAATGATTCTGCAAAATCAATTATATGGCTATGTGTAAAACTAATATTAACTTCTAATGAATAGCTTAATTCAAACTACCATTTCTCTAACTAAAGATAGATGTTTGCATTACAATTAAGATTTTGTGCCCTGGATGATTGTGGCCATTTTGTTTTATGATTTTCTTGCTTCTTTTTCACTGCATTACTATATATACAATGCTGCTTTTCTCAAAAAATGACATGCTTTTTTTTTAACTATATAACCTTTAGTCTGGGGCATTGTGGTTTTAGAACATGATTCAAATTCTAGAAACCATTCATGTGCTTTCTCTTTACTATTAACGTTTACGAATATATCTAGTTCAAATTGTGATACTTCAAAGTTCTCAAAGGTCTGAAAAGATGGTAATACATTAAATTTTTTAATTAAATATGTATATTGTTGTGAAAGTATTCCTTTTAAGATCTCAGGTAAGGAATTCCATGTATGTATCTAGAGATTCGTTAAATAAATAAATATATATATAAACACATTATATCAAACTGGCAAAAAAAAGAAAATCTATTCATCAAAACATAAAGTTTTATTGAGAAAAAAAGGTAAAATGCCAAAAAAAAAATTTATTCAAAAATTTTCGTTCATCAATTCCATGCATTAATGCCTACTTTTGTTGTTACGTTCAAATATAATTATTAAATGTATTTGAAGTTCATCCATACCATTTTTTATTTTTGAAATATTGTTAATGTTGAGCAGAAAGAGTATGGAAAATCCAATAAAGTATTTTTTGAAATATTGTTAACATTGAGCAGAAAGAGTATGGAAAAATCCAATAAAGTATTTTCAAAATATTGTTAACGTTGAGCAGAAAGAGTATGGAAAAATCCAATAAAGGCAATATTATAAATTAATTATATTATTAAAAAAGTTAATTATATTATTAAAAAGTTAATTATATTAATTACGTATTAAGTATACGTACGTATTCTGCATGATCGATTGATTACAGTTAATTTGGTTGCTATGGCTTAGCCTAACTGCGCCACCAACCTGGCACACATTCAAGACGTGCCTCAAGCACTTTCAATGATAAGAATTTATTAAAATCTTATGTAAATTCATTTTCGACAAATGCTAAAATCTTGATTTTTTAGTATCTAACTTTTTTTTAATACATACTAGTGTTAGAGCCCGTTATCATATGACAGGTTATAGGGTATGGAATAAACGCTACAAACTTGTTATGTGAATATCGCAAAGATCCCTTATAAGAACTTTTTACACATGAGTACACATACCAGCACAAAATATAGCACGTCCAAAGCATTGAATTCAGATAAGTTGCATGGAATCTGCACGCAAGCAAAGTCGACGAACACGTAATTGCATGAAATTTTCAAATGTGCACGATATGTGCACAAAATAATGAACGGCTCATTTGTAACTATACTGGAAATTGTACGGAAAAGCATGTAAAAAGTACGCTATTACGTGTACTGTTGCGCTTTTTTACATTTATATTCCATATAGTTCTGTATACACTTATAATGTAATGTACCCGTGTTTGACCATAAATCCCGTGCACCATGTTTTATAGGGACAGTCATATAAAAAGACTATCGGGGCTATGCATGAAATTGTTGGATCTGTATTGCTATAAATTCTGAGACACTTAAAAATGACTGAAATGATAGGTTTTTGATATCAATGACATGAAAGCAGCTGAAACACCGCCTATATAGGTGATTATTTTTGAATCCAGACCAAATGTTATTACGTCATGTATATAATTGGTCCGGGTTCAAAAATAACTATCCATATGGAGTCTTTGCTAACGGAAATCAACTTAAGTTTTTTGCAAAATTCCGATAAATTTCGGCACGGGATATATATTTCGTGAAAATTTACCTGTTACCGCACGAATGTTACACGAATATACAATGTCCGAATTTTGTGAAATAATCTAATTTTTTTAATAATATATATAGACTCGTATGTGACCCATCGCGAACGCTGACGGCAATGATGAAAATTAAAAAGGATACATTGAATTAATATTACGCGAATGCGAGGTAATATGAGCTCACAAATGGGAGTAAGGTTTAAGTTTTTTAATAATATAAAATAGATAGATAAATATAGATAGATAGGATAGATAGATAGATAGATAGGATAGATAGATAGATAGTACAGTATGTGACTGTTGTTTACGCTGATGGGATAAAGTTAAGTAATAAATAAGTAAATTATGAGTAGGCATATAAGAATGTGTCTATAAATTAGGATAAATTAGAAATGTATAAATAAATAGTGATAGAATTTGGAAAAGAGTAAGGTGTATGTAGCATAAGTAATAACGCGATATATAAATTAAAACTTATAAAGTAAGTAATTTAAGGTACATAAGTTTAGAATATAGAAGTGTTGTAACTATAATTTATAGTATAGAAAAAGTAATAGATTTAGTAATGTTCGAATTATAAAAGTAATTGATATGAAGTACAATTAGAAGTGTAATTATTAAGGTGTAGAAAAGTAAAATATAGAAAATAATTGCCATATAGGCAGAATTAAAAAAGTTATAAAAGTTTAATATACAAAATATATTGTAAAATTATAGAAAATAATATAAACTTGTATTAAGATATAATGTATAAAGCAGGAGAAAATATCAATAGTACACAATTAGTGATATATTATATCTTTAACATTAAAAAATAGAGTAATTGCAACGTAAATAACTTTTTTGAATTGAAGCATCATGTGGAAATTTAAATTTTAGTTAGTGATAAATTATATTTATAATAGTAACAACAAAATAATCATAATATAAAATTTATTATTCATGGGGGTTTTTTTTAATAGTTATGCAATTAGTTATCCGTTTGCACATTTAAAATTTAACGGATATCCGGATATCCTGGTTTTTAAAATTGATCTTAATGATTTTTTTTCCTTCATATATTTTACTTTATATATTTTACTTTTGAATTTATATATGACATTTTTTTCAATACAACACTAAGCCATTAAAGTTTTTCCACTTTTAATCACTTGGTAGTGCTTTAAATGGTTCTCTAGATTCAATCTGCAAACCCGAAATTATCCGTGTTTACATATTTAAAAATCATAGCCAACTGTGGTATCCAACCAAATGCGAGAGTTTGTGGACGAACATCCTTGAACATATTGATTGGTAAACCATATTCTCCGTTTTCATTTACGGAAAACTCCATTCCTGTTAAAAATAATAAAAATAAGGTAGCTGCGCGATGCAGCCGTGCTAGAAACCAGGAACGAAGGCATATAGTAAACAAATGATCTAAGTAAAGCAAATAGGAGCTCAATAAGAACTGAATAGCATATTTAAATATCATTTCATCAACCCGATAAAATATCCCACAACAAAAAAACAAAAATACCAAATATCAGGTGAATAGTCAAATCAAATTGTATTGGGCCTAGTGATGTGCTGCGTACAGTACTATACCAGTCACATGATATGTCACATCTAAAAATTTTATCATATGATTTTCATAAATTACACAAATCTACGAATTCACATTTTTAAAATTTTTTCTAAAATCTTAGTAAAAATATGCTACACTTTTTAAATAAACTTATTGCTGAGGTTTCTATGAATCAAAAGGTATTAAAAAACATAAAAAAAGAATTTCTCCCTATAAAACACCATGCTCTCGAACATTGGTAATTATTTTACCTATTTCCGTCGTATTCTTTTCTAGTACACAAATTCATGACATAAAAAGTGATTTAGTAGATGCACTGGGATGAGAGCTTTCAGCAAAATGAAACTTTGAAAGGCTGGTACATTATTAAAGTAGTAGGAAAAACTGTTTTATACAGTGCGAGAATTCTTAAATCAACATATATTTTTAAAATTTTATAAAAAAATAAAAAATATAGTTAAAAGAAAAAAACTTTTTATAGAAATATACAACAAA